GGGAGAGGTTTTTGCTATAGGGCGCGTGCGCTCGCCAGACAGACAAAGAGAGACAGAGAGACAGAAAGCGAGAATCACCTCCCAGGGGGGATGGTCACGCCACAATCCCTTCTCCTCCATTCTCCTCTCGGAATCTTGGGCACGCACGCACACGCACCTGGCGTGAGTTTTAAGCCACCGGGTCTAGGATGCGAACCGCGGTCGATTACGTGGGAGTCCAGCGACATAACCATTACACTAACTGCTGGTTCCCTGCTTCTTCTTACATTATTGATTTTAGAGTAAATTGGTGAGAAGAGCAGTCTGAATTAGTGAGTGGTAAACCATTTGAGATGGTTAACATTATTCTAGTTCAAAGGACAACTCAAAATAGAAGCTAGTCCTGTGAACCATGTTATGCTTCTGGTTTAACCAATGATGGTGACGGCCTTGGTGATACTCATTGAACGAGGCATGGGGCTAGATGTTTTCTAACCATTTTCCTTTAACCCCACTCCAACTTAGTGAGATAGATGCTACCGTTTTCCTTATTTTACTGATAAAAAGCTGAAATTTCCCTTGGCCTTTTTAACTCTATAGTCTGTTCATTTTAAAGGCTGGGCCTCACTATGTTACAGTCCTCCCACCTGCCTCAGCCTCTGGAGTTGCTGGGTCTATAGGTGCGTGGCACTGCTCTCTGCTTTAGGGTGGTTCGGGGATTGAACCCAGGCCTCCCATGTGGTTTTAGCTTGCTTTATAGCAGCATCTATCAGTGCAGCTTGGCCTAAAGTCTATTCTTAATTACTAACTCTGCAGACATAAATAGTTTGATGTCACCCCACCTTATTTTATTCTAGTCAGAGTGAACACAAGAAGTGTGGAAGACTTCAGCACCACGCTTGTGGAATTTAAGCATTTTCCTTGTCATCCGAGCTACTACACCATGGGTGAAACTTCTAAACTGCGCATTTTTTAATTAAAAAATTTGTTTTCATTGGGGTAAAATATACATAATATAAAACGTAGTGTCCTAACCACTTCGAAGGGTCCAGTTGGGTGATGCCAAGCACATTCCCACTGGTGTGCCGCCATCAGCACCATCCTAGTACTCTCTCATCTTCTCAAGCTGGAATTCCATATCCAGCCAACGCTAATGTCTCCTTCCCCCTTCCTCTCAAGCCCTGGCAACCACCATTCTGCTTTCCGCCTCTACGAATTTACTGCTCTAAGTAGGTACCACACATCAGTGGAATCATACATTTGTCTTTTTTTGATAAATCCAGTTTTTGTAAGCAAACACTTTTTATGTGTTAGGAGTACTTGTGTGAGGAAATCTGCTGGCTACCTTGTATGAACTGGAGAGTCCTGCTCCAATGGGTGTGTTCCCCTCCCCCTCCACTTTTTTTTTTTTGGAGAGATTTTTTTTTTTTTTTTTTTGTTAAGGGGCGGGGGGGCTTGCCAGACACAACG